CCCATTGTCAAGTTCATGTTCCGGATCTTTACCTTGTTGATCTCTACTCATTGTGCATGTGCTTTCCATTAGTCTAGTCTCACATTGTTAAGTTCATGTTCTGGATCTTTACCTTGTCGATCTCTTCTCATTGTGCATGTGCTTCCACTAGTCTAGTCTTCATTGTCAAGTTCATGTTCCGGATCTTTTACTTACTTAGTCTTTTCTCTTTGTGCATGTGTTTTTCGCTAGTCTAGTCTCTGATTGTCAATTTCATGTTTAATGAGATGTTCCGGACCTTTTCTTAGTTAGTCTCTTCTCGTTGTGCATGTGCTTCCATTAGTCTAGCCACTCCTTGTCAAGACCATGTTCCGGATCTCTACTTAGTTTGTCTCTCCTCTTTGTGCATGTGCTTCCACTAGTCTAACCTCTCCTTGTCAAAAGTTCATGGTTGATGTGATGTTCCGGATCTTGTTTGATGATCCCCTTCCCTATGAGTATGTGATTTTCATTTGTCTAGCTTCTCATTGTCATGTTATTCCAAAATATACTTATTCAATTTCTCACTATGGGACAGGTGATCGACGTTTGGTTGCTGTTACGGGGAGCTGAATTGATTAGGAGTTTTTTTTGTCGTCTCTCTCTCTCTCTCTCTCTCTCTCTCTCTCTCTCTCTCTCTCTCTCTCTCTCTCCTTTCCTTTCTCTCTCCTCATCTCTCCCTCCCTCTTTCCTTTTCCCTCTCGCCCCTTTCCCTCCTTCCTCCTCTAGACCCCTCTTTCGCCCCCCTTTTTTATTACCTTGCCTTCTCTCTCTCTCTCTCTCTCTCTCTCTCTCTCTCTCTCGTTTCCTCACTTGGCATATGACTATCCCTTCTCCCCTCACTTGGAAACATTGCCAGGGTACGGACGGTGACCGAAATCAGACCTCACTTGGTGGAGAAAGAGGACAAGGGGAGGATAGCCGGTCCCTTGCGCCACCAAGAAGGCAAAAGAAAGGACGTTTAAAAAAGTGTGAGAAAGGCGGGGTCCGGAAGGAAGCATAAGTTGAGAGAGAGGTCAGTTTGACTCAACCATTTCCCCGACTGCATGACTATGAGAAGAGAATGGGCTGATTGAGCATCAAGAGGGAACAAAGAGCAGCCAAAGGATTTGAAAAGATAGGCATGTGGGAAGGGCTATGTGTTGACCGCCAACGGGGGATTGTATGGATTCTCTTGCTCGTGTGGGATTGTGCAGGTGAGTGGTGGCTAGAAATGCCTTGAGCGGGATAGGGGCGAGAGGAACTGGGCACCAAGAGTGAAAGGGAAGAGGGACAATGGGGCTATGGGACCCTTGACATAGAGCCAACCCATGGGAATGACTTTTGCGCTTGAGGACTTGGAGTGGAAATGAGAGTGCAATCATACCAAGGAAATTGTGATGTTATGAGTGCATGCATATGAGGACCCCGAAAGGACTAAGGGGCCTACTTCAATGAGGAAAACAGCAAATTGTGAGACCGATGGATGCGTAGAGGCGAGGTGGAGGACGGCTCCGCCACGCCCCGATGACGCCATATAGTCACATTGCTTAGGGAAATGGTGCGTGGCCTAAGGATGACGCTTAGCCTACGCACAAGAGAAGAGAAACACTCAAAGAATCCTTGGACTGCCTGCGTATTGGAAGGAGCAATTGCATGAGAAGACAACAAAGAATAAAAAAAAAATCAGCGTTGAGGAACGACCAGCGAGACTACCACCCGGCGTGAGGGCTGAGCTACATCCCCAATGTCAAAGCTCTCTCGCGCGATGGCCCACCCCCATCCATCTCAAAGCACTTGGCGGGGGTGACCTCGGGACGAACGGCTCGCGCCCCGAGCATGAGCGTGGGCAGGCTGAGTCAACTGGAACCCGCAGTGGGGTCGACTAAGGCTCGAAAGTCTACCGGGGTTTGGCCCTACAAAAATGGTGGAGGTGACGAGCAATGGGGTTAAACTGACCCTTGCGATTCCGAGGGGGGCGCGCGACGCATTGACGTGTACACAACCCAAGATAAGGAAAATAGACTTGTGTTTGCTCTTTCCCTTGTGAGAAATCAGATTTGGGAGTGGCTGGGCGCACTTGATCAGCCTTTCCTTTGAGGAATGGCTCTAGCCCTCCTTCGTTCGGTGCTGGTGTTCGCCAGTCCGGGGAAGCCTTGGGCAAGTCGCAGGTCGACCCTTCCTCTTCGTATGAAAGAAGGGCTCCGGTTACCTGGCAGGCGGTTGGTGCTTGGCTTAGGCCAGGTTCCAATGAAAATCCCATGGCGGAGTGATCCGACCGAATGGGTGTTTTCCCCTTCTTCTTTGAGCACAGCGGGCTCATGCACTTTGCACCTTTTTAATGATTGAAGGAACCAATATGAACACAACGGGTCATCAAGAAAGAACAATCCTACCCTATGAAAGGACAGACAAGTGAAGAGAAGGGAAATGAAGGGAGTTGCTAGACTCCAAGGAAAACTAACTCACCCTTGAAGATTCTCACCAGAAGGAACCAACCACTATGTATGAAAGTAGGGGGAGTGACACTCATTGTCCTGAGAGAAAATTTGTGAGTTATGGGTAGGAAGCGTTGGGTGCACCAAGGGAATGGCACTTGTACTATGTGTGTCCCACTTGAGACTTGTGTTTGCATGGTGGGATTCGAGCGTCCTGCCTTTCGGAAGGAAAGGATTGGTCTGCCCCGGCCAGTGCGGGTTGCGAAACGTCGTTCTCTTTTGTAGGCTGCCGTGTGTTCGTATGTGGAGGTCAGGCCACCGAGCTATCGGACGGGAGTTTGTCACCTCGGTTGATTAGTAACATTCTCGTTCGAACGGTGACGGTCTTCGACTCGACGATCCGCCGGACGGGGTGTGAAATCTCCTCAGGCGAGGCTTAGCCTGTTGGCTGGCGGAGGGAGTACCACTTCATGCAGACAAAGACGGAGCCTCGGAGGCGATTAGTAGCTTCTCGTAGCATGGTTTTGGGAAAGGCTGATTCTTGTTGAACCGATGGAAGTGAATGTCCGGACGGCTGACTTTGTCCCTGTATTTAGGCATTCGAGGTAACCCTCGGTGTCGGTATGGATGTGCTAAGCGGCAAGACGGTATGGGGTATTCTGGGTAAGGAGGAAAGGGCGAATGCCTTGCCGAGACCTGGGTACCGCGCTCGCGAAGGTTGAGCTGCGCTTGAGGTATGGGATAAAACTCTATCGATAGTACCAGCGGAGAGACCATATTGGGGACGGCCGGTAAGGAGATGACCGGCCCGTATGTGAGGTTGCCTGATTTTTTTTGTGTTCCCCCCCCGTAAAGATTGATTGAGCTTGGATTGTTGGACGGGCACTCTTCTAAGTGTATTCCCCCTCCCTTCTAAGTCCACACGAGTGAGAGACGATCGGAAGGAAGGAGGATAGAGGTCAATTGGAATGGAACCAAGAGAAAGAATGTGGGCGAATGGATGGCCGACCGAGGGAATTATAGGAAGGGGGTAGGGAGACCTTGATGAGGGGTCTGAAATAATTCTCATCTAGGACAAGGGTTGACCTGACCGAAAGGATCGGTTGATCCTCTTTTTATGAAAACAGGGGTCGGGTGCTGAAAGCAAGATGGCGCGAGGGTTGCCTTCCCCGATTTATACTAGCGGCCCGAAAATGCCAGTAGATGTAAAGGATGGGGTATCGGTCGTCCTCTCGGAAAATGGAACGTGGACGGACCTTGAACCAACATAGCAAACGGTAATGCTGAAAGGAGAGGATGCTTTCCTTTGGATAGAAACAATATGGACTAATGTCAGCCTGACGAGGTTGTCGCCAAGTTTAATGGATTTGGAATTTCGAGGGACAGTGGAAGCCCGGGGGGTGGGTCTACTTGTCGCAAGATGGGGATAAAGCTATGATCATAGAGTTGGCACTCGGGAATACACCGGACGAGTTGTTTAGGAAGGCAGAAGCAGAGGTTGTGTGGGCTGCATGTCAACGGAGGGAAATGGAAATGGAAAAGGTAGACGTACGGGTGGAATTTGGGGATAGAGGAAGCATGAGGCGACCCGTAAGAACCATGCGATGTGTGCTGCCCTCCTCCCTAGTGGATGCGGTTTTCGGAGCCCGGAGCAGGCTAGTACGGATATGCCAGTCCATGACGAACCTCAGGCTATACCAATGCGCTAGGCAAGATTTTTTTCGGTTATCAGTAGAGATGGGGCCGTTCGAGGGGAACTGGGCGGAGGAGCTGCGCGAGATACTAAACTGCCTTAGCATAGACAAAATCTTTGTCACTAGCGTTGTGCATTGGGGGATAGTCTACAGGAATGTGGCAATAGGGGAGACGTTTCTAGATGGGGTAAGGGAGTTGGTATACGACGAGGAGGACGACTTCAGTGATGAAGACGAAGATGAAGAGATAGAGGACTGGGACTTCTGAGAGGGGTGGGGTAACTTAACTTACGAAGGACGGGTGACCTGGTATTGTGCAGGAAAGAGAAAGATGACTAGAGAAGAAAGGATGATGGAATACACCTTCAAAGGCTGGGAACCACGACGATTCAGAGGAGGAATAGAAATGTCTATACCAGCAGGAAACGGATGGAGAGGGACCACGTGCGACTGGATTGGGTTTGAGGTTGCCCGAGACTTGTCATATGTATGGATAGAGCGGATTTGGAACCCGATAAGGGAAGAGGAAGGTTGGGATGATATAGCAGAAGGCAAGGTAGAGTCAGTCGGAACGATTGTCCTTTGGAGGATGGATGGCACCTGTTTTGCACTATGTTAGCAATGGGACAGGACCCGATGTGGCTTCTAGGGGATGGAGAGGCCCGAACCCGAAAATAAGGCAAGTGGTTCGCCAACGAGGGGTGGGAGGAAGTTAGTAGCAGAGTTGTGATGGGAGGATGGAAGGAACTTAAGCCTCCAAGTCTACGGATAACGGCTTGGGTACCAGAGTTCATAGCCGAGTGGTTTGGAGGGCTTGAACACATTCTGGAAGTAGCCGACTCAATGAGAAAGGTGCATATAGAATGTGCCTGGCTGACCGAGGAGTTCTATAGGCTCTCATTGAAATATGGGCCCTTCTACGGAGATAAAGCCGAGGAAGTCATCATCGTCCTAAGAAGAGGCAGGTATGACCGCTTAGAGGTAGAGGCGGAGTCTTGGGACGCCATAGTTAGCTGGGAGGCGGCGGCCGCACCCTCCTACATAGACGATGTCTTTAAACTATTTGAGGTGTTGTGGTTCAACTAAACGAGAACGGGGGATCGATCACCGCGAAAAGGGCTGAGTGTGGAGGGTGTTTGTGAATCGAGGTGTAACATAAGAAAGGGAATGTGTACATGAGGCCGTAGGGGGTGCATAACGATCGAAACAAGGGGGAAGTGGCAGCAACCGGAAAAAGGGGGCAGGGGTAGAATTGTATGTGTATGAGTCGTGGATAGCGGCAAAAACCAGTGTACGATAAGTAGGGAGGGCTGAAAGACTAAAACACGAAAGGCATGGAATCTCGGTGGGTGCAGCAATCGGACTAAGAAAGCAAGAAAGGAGACATTGCGAGATGGCCCCGCGAATGACGTTCTGGGAGGATAGACCTCGTGGGATCCTGCCACCAAGAATATCAGAGGGCAGGGTTGAAATAAGCCTGCCGGCAAGAAATACGGTAGGCAATCCGGCAATGGACTGGGTGGGGGTAGAGTTGCTGGAATGGCGTGCGAGAGGGGAGTTCGTGGGCGTAGACTTGAACCGCCCAGGGCGTGTACATGCGACGGGATCCTTACACCATTCCGAAGAGGGATGGCGGACCTTTGGGATTGCCTTGGCTTCCGGGGATGACCCCGTGCGAATGTTCGAAGGGGCATGGCAAATAACCTGGCGGGAGGGGTTTGAGTTTGCAGACCCGGAACGAGATGACGTAACGGCGGAGGTAAAAGTCGCCGCGGCGGGGGTTTTCGAGCTGCCAAATGAGGTCATACGGATGAGTCTACCACCCTTCCTGCTAAGACAAATGGGAGGCATAGAACGAGTGGAGCAGGCGGTGACTGCCGTAACTAGGCCAAATTTTGACGAAGCATTAATGTATCGAGAATACTATCGGGCCTTTCTAGAGATGGGGCCTTTCGGGGACGAACAAGGGCGCGAGGTACTTTGCATTCTACGAGCAACGGTAAATACTAGGCCAAGAATCCCAAATATAAGTGAGGAGACCATGTGGAGAGTCATCCGGCGAGAGGTAGGTCGGGGTGCGACCTACATAGATGATCTTTACCGACTATACGAACAGCCAGAGGAGGTTACTGCTCCTGGGGGTATAGAGGGATAGTTGGGACTAGAAAAGGGAAATGAAAACACGAAGGGGAAGGGAGGCAGTAGGTGGGCGGATTCTGAAGATTGGCTGTAACCCTTTCTATGTGGACTATGCAGGGAATCACCAGGTAACAATGGCAGCAAGACGTGAGCGAGTGGAACGCCAGCCTCATGTACGAATGGAACGCCAGCCCCGGTACCCCGGACCGCCCTGGAACAACAGTGGACGATAGGAAGTATCCCTCCCGTCGAGTTCTACCTATCGGGGGTTCGACACAGAATGGCGGGCCGTGACTTTGGGAAGGGACGCCGCCTTCATGTTGGTAGAATGTCGGTGGACAGGGATGAGACTCAATCGAGGACCCGGAGATGATCTGTTTTCCAATCTGGAAGTTACCGGGACCATGTATCTGCCTGAGATCGGTTGGCACTCGTTGGGGGTAGAGATAGCACAAGGTCACGAGTTGGCGCCGGTCTTTCGAAGGGCCGCCCGGACGTTGACCCGGATAGGACAATCGGTTAGGGGAAGAAGGAACGTGGGCTTACTTACCCGGGTGGAAATGGGAGGTTGGAGGAAGTTCAGGGCACCGACCACACCGCTGAGATGCCGAGTGCCCCGTTTTATGATAGACCTCGTCTTTGGAAGCCTCGCGAGGGCGCGAGAGCTGGCAGACTCATCGATAGTCTAGGCAGGCCACTTTCCCTCCCCTACCATTGGGATGTTCTACGATGTCGCTGTGGAGCATGGGCCGTTCTGGGGAAACAGGGCCTACGAATTACTAAAAGTCATCCACATCCTGATGTTTTGTGCGCCTCGGCTAGACTGGACAGGGTGCGAACACATAATCCAAAGGGAAATCGAGATAGGGGAGAATTATCTAACGGGGGTGGCTCAACTATTCGAGGAGCCTACCGAACCAGAAGAGCCGCGAGGGTGAGAGCGGGACTAGCATCTGCAGGCGGGTCAATAGGGCGGATCGAGTATAGTTCGCTGCGTACGGAAGTTCGCTGATGGGAATAAAAAAGGGGGCTCGGACCTGGATGGCTAAAACCCACTAGAAAAACAAAGAAGGGGGGGGCAGACTCCTAATGATTGACCATAACCCTGAAGGTTAAAAATGGGAAACGCTGCTCGGGAAGACTTCCCCTAGCAGGATGCCTAACCCGGACTCCCTCGCATCGGCCGACGGGACAAGGGCACTACCAACGAGCTTGTGATAAAGGAAGCTGTTACTTCCTTGTTTACCGTACATCGTTGCGAAATCTCCTCTTATGAGAGTGATTTCTGCTCCCCCGTCTACTAATGAGTCGGTATGATGACTCCCGATCTGGATTTTCAGTTTCCCTACGGGCAGCGCATGAAAGCTAAGCTTCGTCCCGGGTGGTGCTCTCATGACTTTGCCGCCCTCTCGGTCGGGCAAGCTCAAACGAATGTCTGCAAAGGTTTTTTCGACATCCTCCAAGTCCCCGTGACTCCTATGAAGGTTAGCCACTTCTTGCGGAGCTTTCTCCTCCCTCTCCCCTTCTGGTAATTCGGGGTTGTCGTCTATTTCTACTCGCTTCCGAGTCAACAGTTATCTGAGCCCTTTGAGCAACCTAGCGCTAGCCTGCAGCATGGTCTAAAAAGACACTGACACCATGGTTCCTAGTAACTTGCGAATGGTGTCGTTGTACGTCACGAAGTGTGTTGTAAAGGCAGGGGTCAGGGAATCGATCTGGTCGTTTCAACGGATGACCGTAATGGAGGAAATGGACCACGACATAATCCTCGGGAGACCGTGGTGAGCGAACGTGGAGATGATAGGCATGCACTTGCACGATGGCTCATACATGGTAGACATAGAGGACCCTGTGACCGGCCGGGGAGAGCTCCTCCGATTCTTTGGAACGGGAGGAGACCCCCCGAAGGGGAAATTGGCAACATGGTCGCCGTCGTTCGAGGATAGCACGCGAAAAGGGGCTTTCGCACGGATGGAGGGTATGAGAGAAAGGGTAGAAATCATGATTGAGGAAGCATTCAACAAGAAGGAGTGGATCAAGATGGGCCTGCCCCAGAAGAAGAGGAGGCAGGAGGACGAAGTCCTAGGTGTCATGGTAGCGGAAAAGGAGTCAGAGGTCGAACTTGGTGTTAGGCTGCCCAAACGGAAAGAAGTACGCATAGACGTGCCAGAAATTGCACTCGAGATCCCCAATCTATTACAACTCATCAAGGCCCTCAGATACCACAAGTTAGGAGTGGACTCGGCAGCCTTGGCCAAGTTCGAAAGTACAAGCCGGTAGGGAAGAAAGCAAAACCGGTCTCGATCCTGCTAGAGACATCAAAGGAAGAGGCTATGGAGAAGGAGGAAGAGGTCCTTCGAGTGATCCGAGAAAGAAGGGCGACGGAGGGACATCAGATACCAGATGAGGTAGCTGACACAATGAAGATAGGGATAGATGGGTTCTTAACGGAAGAAGAAACCCGCCTGATCAAAAGGACCTGCCAGGAGTTTCACCTTGCATTTGCCTTTAGTGATCACCAGAAGGGACGACTGGATGCGAAGTTGATTTCCCCGGTCAGAATCCACACGGTAGAACATGAGTGTTGGAATGACAAGGGGCCATCCTATGAATTTGGGATAGCTGGAGAAGTAACAGACCTCCTCCGAGCAAAGATGGACTCCTTCGTTGCGGAGCCTACGGCATCGCCATACGCAAATCGGTGGTTCGTCTTTCGGAAGCCTAACAAGACGCTAAGGTGGATTCAGGACCTGCAAAAGTTGAATGCGGTAACCATCCGGGATGCTGGCTCGCTACCTTAGGCTGACTTATTTGCAGAATCACACGTCGGTCGGAGCATTTACACCCTGATAGATCTGTACTCAGGGTACGACCAGCTTCCGTTGGATGTTCGGGACAGGCCATACACCGCTATGCACACCCCCGTAGGCCAACTACAGATGCAAGTGACCCCTATGGGATTCACAGACGCGGTGGCCGAAGCGCAACGCAAGATGCTCGCCGTGGCCGGGGATATGTTCCCAGAAAAATGTGAGCCTTACATCGATGACAATCCGATTAAAGGTGCGCAGGAGAAGGACGAGGCGGAAGTTTAGCCAGGGATCCGACGTTTTGTATGGGACCACCTGCAGGACATCAAGGACTTACTCCGCCGGTTCGTAGTATACAACATTACGGTTAGTGGACCAAAGAGTATCCTAGCAGTACCGGAGGTAACTATACTAGGATTTCGTTGCGGTGCTTACGGCAGGAACCCGGATCCAGCAAAAAACGACAAGATATCACAATGGCCGACACCGCTGCGCACAATGACGGAGGTAAGGGCATTCCTAGGCATAGTCGGCTTTTGGAGGATCTTCATTAAAAACTTTGTCAAGATTGCTGAGCCTATCCGGGCTATGATCAGGGAAGAAGGAACCATAGATTGGATGGAGGAGCGAGAAGGAGTTGTCCAAAGGCTCAAGGACATATTGACATCTAAAACATTCGCGCCTTGTTTTAATGACGAAGTGGGACGACCCTTCATCCTAGAGACGGATGGAGGACCTTTGGCCGTAGGAGGTGTGTTGATTCAAAGGGATGAGGGAGGAAAAGAGAGGCCAATTAGGTTCGAAAGTAGAACCCTGAACTCCGCAGAACGACGATATTCGCAATTTAAGAAGGAAGTCCTAGCCATCCTGCATTGCCTTAAGACCTTCCAGGCCTACCTATTTGGGAGGCGGTTCATCTTAAGGATCGATCTGACGAATGTCGCAGGGGCTCTAAAGAATTACAGGTCTATAGATCCGACGGTACGGAAGCGGGTAGGATTCATCTGGCAGCTCGATTACAAGATCGAACGGATTGCTGGAATCCGCAACAAGGCAGATGGGCTGAGTCGGGTTTGCATCACTCTCGAAGGGATGGAGGATGCAGAGCCTATAGACGCATTCATCGAATACGAAGGAGGGACTCTCGCGGTGGATAACGAAATGATGAGCGGGGAATGCACATCGGGAGAACTATTGATCCAGACTTTGGAGAAGAGGGCACCTGCCGTAGTAGCAAAACTTAGAGAAGGACGAGTTACCACTCGAGGACGCAGAGAAGAAAAGGACTCATGGGAAGCGATAGTAGGACCGAAAGAGGAACTAATAGCAATGGCAGTCGAGGGAGGCCGGGAAGCAGTGATGAGCTTAGTGGAATCTTGGGAAAGGAAAGAGTTGCAATGGCTGGTAAACCAGATCCAGGAAGGAAAGGATGGGGGCAAGGAAGGAGAGGAGTTTTTCTATGTCCAAWCATAYGAAGGGCTCTTTCRGGAGATCGGGCTGTTATWRGTAGGAAACAAACAACCTRCGGAAGTSAGTATTRAAGCAAGAGAAGAAGCSGAAAGGTACGTCCTAARGGGCGGRCATTTGTTCCRAARGGAGGAAGGTGCTATGCCCAGAAGGGTTGTGTGCGGAAGGTCTAGGCAAGTAGACGTTATCCAGGCAATGCACGATGGGTTGGCTGGAGGTCATCGGTCGTCCAAAGGAACGCTTGCAAAAGTGACGCCACTCTATTACTGGCCAGGCATGGCAGGCATGGTCGCCATATACTGCCAGACTTGCCTTATTTGCCAAGAACGAAGCTCGGTGCGGGTCTTCGAGCCGCTTAGACCAACACGGGTGCTAGGGCCGGGGCATCTGGTCCACCTCGACCTTGCGGTCATGCCTGTATCAACGGATGGGTACAGGTATATCCTAGATGCGCAAGACAACCTGAGTGGGTTCGTGGAGGCAGTCGCCCTCAAGAAAAAGACAGGGAGGAGTGTGGCGGACTGGATAGAAGACTTCTACTTGAGGCATCCGTTCGTCAGGAGGTTTATAGCAGACAATGGGACGGAGTTTGTGAACCAAGAAGTATTGGGGATGCTTAAGAGACTCTGCGTACCGATCAAACTCATCGAGCCGTATCACCCTGAGGCCAATGCGCCTGTGGAAAGGGGGCATCGAACCTTGAAGAACACGATTGCAAAGCTCGCAGCGGACCATCTGGGGAACTGGCCTAGGTATCTTAAGTAGGCTGTCTTTGCAGAGAATATGACCCCAAAAAAAACAACAGGATGTATCTCGGCAGAGCTTTGGTACGGAAGAGAGATCGACTTTCCTGTGGAAGCCTTGGTACCTACCTGGAATAGGTTAGATGAAGATTTACAAATGACCACTGATGAGTTAATCGAGGCAAGATGTCAACAAATCCTTAAAAATGAGGAGGTCATGGAAGACATCGCCATCCGGGTACTAGACAGCAGAATGAGGGACAAAACAAGGTGGGATCAGGTTAAGAATGTCAGAAAGGAGCCACTTCAAGTGGGAGAGATGGTATTGCTAAGGAACTCGACACTAGAAAGTACTTGGTCGGGACAGCTGGGAAAGAGGTTCAAAGGCCCCTACTGGGTCGCCAAGCGGGTGGGACTGAACAGCTTCGAACTGGAAGATTTGGATGGAACTGGATTGAAAGGACCCTTCCCGGGGCAACGATTGGTCAGGTTTCTAAGCCGGAACCCAGTGGAACAATGGCTTCAGGAGGCCGAAGATAAGGAAACTGAGGGGCCACAAGCTAAAGACTGACCACAGCCTTGCCCGCACCATGGTTTGTCTCTGACCATGTTCATGGGACTGTCATTTTTTTTGGGGACTGGCGCTTTGGCTTGGACTGACTGAGGTTGAAAGGCAGCGTGACTTGGGGGTTTTGCAATATCTGGCTTGTGTGATGACGAGAAGGGATGTTGGGGCATTGTACCATAGTTTTTGACGGGGAAAAAATAGGGTCATCACAAACGACGCAGCCACATGAATAATAGGGGCATGCTGCGAAGGATGCTGGGGGCATTCTGGGAAAAAGGGGGGAACTACCTACCAGACTGGGGGAATGGGCGCATGAGGGGCTTTGCGGGTGTTGTTTTGTTATACAGGGTCCAAAAGAAAAGAGAAGATGGAGTTCGGTGACGAAAATGACAGCGGGGCAATCAACAGGCCTACCGGAGGGGAGGGAGCAGGACCAAGCCAAGGGAGGAGAGCGGCAAAGAGAAAGTTGTATATAGGACTCATGGGTGGCC